CCACAAAGAGCTGGCCCGAGTGGATCCTGGCATGTTTATTCCCTGGATTCTGTGGGATTTATTTTTTCATCAGTTCTAGGGGTGTGGGGGGAGTGCTGAGCACAAGTGTCAGGGCTTGCGAATAATTTATGTGAGTAAACACGCAAGGAGAAAGGCGAGTGAGAGCGTGAGAATTAAGGGCACTTATTTGGGCTTTGATGCCTGGTTTGCCCTCTGGCCCAGTCTTCCCCACAGTCCTGATCACACGGTTCCAACCCTCCCCGGCTAGCTCACAGTGGGCTGGCTCCCATCTCTTCCCAGCCTGCACCTGCCTCCCTGCCTCTCCTGCGGCCCTCATTAAGGCTGGGGAGAAGGTAACTGGTGGCCTCCAGCTGAGGCCTGCGCACTGCATCTTTCTCCCCCGCCCCCTCCTGTCCATCCCCATCCTGGCCCAGCTAGTTGTGGCCAGCCTGGGGCTGCTTTTTTCCTCTTCCCCTTTTTCTTCCCTGGGCCTTCTGAAGATGCGCTCTGCACAGCCAAGTGGCACCAGGCTAGCATGGTTTACACTTGAGAGATGAAGTAATAACAGGTGGCAAGAGCGGAGGCTGCTGGAGCCCAGGATTCCGGTTGCCATGGAAACATGTCAGACCTGTGGAGGGACCCGGGAACTGTCAGCCGTGGAGGGTGGCGGGGAGGAACCAGTGAGAGGGACGAGGAGAGGAACATCTCTTCCTGGAGGGCTCTGCTCACTGCCCCCAAATTCCCCAAGGTTTGCATACCCCAACCTAGCAGGTCCCCTGAAAAACAGTGGCTGAACTGGGGCCAGAGCCACAACTGGGCGGTGGGCACTCAGCCTCTGAGCATCCCAGACCCTGGCAGGTGGTCTGAGCGTCTGCTCAGGATGTGAGGCCATGCTGTGTATGTGTGTGTGCATGTGTGTGCGCCAAGGGGGAGCTAAAACTTCTGGCCTGCTTCCTGTTTCGCTAGGACGCTTGGGATGCAGCTCTGGTCTCGGCAGAACCTGGCTGAAAAGCTCTCGTTGGCGGCCAGGCTGTTGCCACTGCTCAAGTGATGGGTTGGGCACAGCACGCAGCAAGAGATCTGACCACCCGGGGGAAGGACAGCCTTGTCTGGGTGGTCATTTTAAGGGGAGGTGTAGGGTTCTGTCTGCTGTAGACATGAGGTCCGATTTAACTTGAAACTCTTGCAGGTGCACTAACTGTTTCTGGAAGGCCAGCTCTCCCTCTTGGGAGCCTGGCGATGAGTGTGGTGGTGGGGCTATTTGTGGCTTGGCTCTTGATATTCCTGGCTTCCATTTCTTCAAAGCTCCCTCCTACCTTCTGGTATTGTTTTTCCTTGCCTTTCTTCCATGAACTTTGTCCCTGATTTCCAGTCTTGTTTTCTGTGGAGCTTTTCAGACTTACCTCCCCGAGGTGAATTCCTAAACTCCTAAGGCTCACTTGTATCTCTTTATGTGATTGCAGCCTGTGAGCGTTAATAATCAACTGAGATACTTATTATTGCATCATCATTAAAGCAGCTACCAAGATACCACTCAGATCTACCTTCCCTGTCTCCGTCCCCTTCTATACTACAGGACTCCGTTTTCCATAAACTGAAGCCTAATCTCTATTTAAGTCCCACTTGTGAGGTCTGGGTAAACTTGCTATTTATAGTGAAAACTATTGTTATAGTGATCTCATAAACCGTGCCAGGAAATTGCTCACAGCCGGGTCAGGCCATAGGTCCAGCCGAGCCATGGGGTGAACTTTACTTCATGAACCTCTGGAATTCTCCTGAGCCACGTTTTCCTGGAGTATATGACAGTAAACAGGATCACTAGGGATGGATCACTGTTGGGGGGGACATAAGCTCAGAGGGAATTTCCACTTTGATTAGGCCAACCTCAGTCATTCTTTGTCACTTTGGACTTGGTAAAGAATATATTGGGTGGATCAGGTTGTCTCCAAAGAGATTTATGAAGCATGTTACACACTAGGTATGACCAGAAAGTGTTTGCTTCTGGATTTCCCTGTAGGCAGAGAAGTTTGATTAGAGGCAGACTCCATAGGGACACAGGCAGACCTGGGCGTGAATCCTGTCTTCTCAGCCTTACCAAATGGGGCCTGGTGAGTGAGTACTTCAGTCTCGCGGATTTCAGTTATCTCATCCGTCACATAGTCCTGGCTTCACGTAGTTTTTATAAGAATCATTGAGCTAGCGTGTGGAAGAGCATGCAGCAGAAGCCTCATTGGTTTAGCAGCATGATGAATATCAGCTGCCTTCTCCTTTCGAGGAACAGTTGGACAAAAGGGAGGCTGAGTCCCCCTTCCCAAGAGGCAGTGAACTTGCAGTCTCACCTCTCCTGGTGTGATTCTGGGCAGTTGTGTCTAGCCAATCGTGGAGGGTTGCAAGGTTGTTCTTCCAGCAGTGCTGAGCCTGCGGTTTTCCCATTCATGTGTCCCCTAGTATGTGGCCATGACACTCAACATGATGACTGAGTCATTCACTGGGGCACTGGCCCAGCTCTCAGAGGAGTCAAGAAATAACCTTAGGTTGGATAATGACATTCAGATAACTTTGTCACAGGACAAACAGGCCCACCCAGTGTTTTGTCCTTTCCAGAAGGAGGTCTTGGGGTGTCCCCAACATCTGCTGTTTACATCCCTGCCATCCCTCCTTTCTAAGCCACCATTGTTGGTAATCACTTCCGGTGTGCGAGGTGTGTAGGTGTTCCACAGTAAGTGTGACATACTGCATGACTTTAAGGTGTGAATCATTTCAGATGAGGAGATGAACCACGTGTACACATGTACAAATGGTCTTCAGCAAGTTCATGGGAAATGCACTTTATGAACCAGCTACAAATGGCTTTCAGACATTTTTTCTGGGACCATAGTAAGTTTCCAATTGCACTTTTTCCATGAACTTTTCGAAGTCCCTGACATAAATGAGAGAACCTGACAGAGAAGCTGTTCTGGGTGCATCCCATGCCACTCTCCCAGGCTGTAAGGGTGCTTTGAGCTCACAGAGGAAAGCAGGAACTGAAGCAAAAAAAAAAAAAAAAAAAAAAAAGGATTTCTCTGAACATAAAGCCTAGCTCTTCCCTGTCACATTCTGTGTAAGTGGGCCGTTGCTAGGCTAAAAATACACCCCATGCCCCAAAGCTGTATACACCAGAGCCACAAGTGGGAATTTAACACCTCCCTCACCCCATGAGAGAGATACTTTGTGTGGTCAGAAAGTGACCCAAATCTACGTGGGGACCCATGCTGACTCAGTCTTCTCAGAACCACTCCTGCAGTTGAGTTAAATTTGCCCTATTGTTTGTTTGTTTGTTTGTTTTTAATAGAATCAGTTCCTCCATCAGTGCCTTCTTTGCTTTACTGGATCATTCCTGATTATAAAGATTCTCCTGGTAGTATCAGAATCCCTGGTTCAACTTGGTGTCCTTCACGATGAATACTACAAAGAATGACGTGTTTGCTTGTTCACCCTCATCTGTCACAAAGGATGCAGTATTTGAAGAAAAATCAGATGGCTTAAGATTTTTTTGAATGGGGTGGGGGGGTGTAGGTCTCTTAGATCATATGAAATCCTAGAGTAAGTGTGGCCCCTGAGTGCTTTCGTGGGAGATATAGGAGTATGTGTGGTTCTTCCTGCATAAAAGGCAATGTAGTTTTGGTTTCCATCAGCCCCTAACTTGAATATACTCCATATCATCTTTGTTCTCTCTCTACGTATCTCTTGATGGGGAAACCCCGAGTTTGCCTTGCTTCATGGGTGTAATTGGATTTTCTTGGGAGAGTTCTAAGAATAGCCAAGATGGCAATCTAGGGAGACAGAAGAATGAGACACTGGCATGTTTGGATTCGGGTAATGGAACTTGTATTTGCAAAGTAAAATTTTTGCACAAGGTTTTTGGACATTATTTGCAAAACCATTGCATACACTGTGCGGTGTCTTTGAGATGTAGTGGCTGATAAGAATCCCAACCACAGTGGACCCCCAGAGGGGGCCAGCTCTGCTGTTCCCTCCCACTTCACCCCCAACAGCTGACACTTTTCATGCAGAGAATTGTCTGCCTCCCGGAAGATGGGGATCAATGACTTAGAAACTGATTAAGCAGTCCAAATAGCAACTGATAAATGGGTTAACCCTCTCTGATACAATCCTGCCTGCCTTTGTCTTCTGCCTTCCACCAGGTAAAGCTTCTGTTCCTGGAGGCAAAGTAGCAGAGGCATGGAGAAAGTGGAGGCCAGAGGGAATCATATTAAAGTGTGTGAATCCATTTATCACCTACTGTCTGGATGGGATTTCTGTTCACATATCCGCTTCCTTTTACAGATTTGTACCCTACGGGACCCTGATTGACATTAGCCAGTGAGGAAGGAAAGGCAGCAACAGACACTGGGTGTGGCAAATAGGAAGGCACCCCGGTGGTTAAAGCTGATGCCCTAAACAGACTTTTCTTCTCTGTGGCAAGCAAGGAGTGTGCAATGTGATAAACACATGCCCATACCAGAGAGAAAGAAGAGGAAATTGGAGGCATTCTCCCCATGCTGAAAACCTGTCCAAAGCTTTCTTGCCAGCCCCTAGAGAAACAGAGAGATTTTGGTGCTCAAGGACATGTGCTATTCTTATAAAGCCTTGTTGTCAGGGTCACGGTCAAAGCCTCTGTTGAGGGCTTGCAGCAGGGGTGGGATGTGAAGGTGCTTTAGTCATGACGGTCTTAAGTTCAAAGATATGCTGCTAGTGGTCTAGTAGCTTACCATTTGATGCGCCTCCGGCATGAGGCTGAGCTGCCTTATAAACCTGTGTCCAGTTCTGATCCTAGTTGCTTGGGGTCTGCAGGCTAACTTGTCCTGGGTGTTTTCTATGTTAGACTTCAGGGAACTGAGGCACAGCAAGATCAAATACCTGTGTACCTACCAAGATGTTCCTCAGAGTCCCCAGCGGCATCTCCAAGTGTCCTTCCTGGCAATGACCACCCATTGGCACTTCTTTGTTTTCCTTTTCAGGGGCAGGAAGAATATCTCCCAAACAAGAACATCTTTCTCAAGAGCAAGGTGCAGGCACTGACCGTTTTCGCGCCCTCTAGTCACTCCAGTGTTTGTGGTTGCGTCTGATGTTGGGGGCTTTTGCCCTGGGGGTTGGCTCAGGGTTGAGGATTCATGGGGGCTTATGGGTGGTGTGTGCATCCAGAGATACCGATGGGAGATACAATACAGTGCTGGGAAATGTCACAAGTTAAATTTGGGCTGACTTGTAAGCATTAGTATCGTTGAACCCAAAAGGATTGAAAGGAAAACCTAGTCCCATGTAGTCACTTGGTTGGTTGGAACAAAACCTTGGCTTCTGAATTTCCAACTCTTTCTGGAGCAGATTCCTCCACGCTGTGGGCGGAGAAGAGGAGGGGGCAGTTGAAATGCATCTCAGCCTAAAATTGGGATTTTTTTTGTGTGTGTGTCCCCACAGCCCAGAAGGGTCCAGATGGGACAGTCATTCCCAACAACTACTGTGACTTCTGTTTGGGGGGTTCTAACATGAACAAGAAGAGTGGGCGACCCGAAGAGCTCGTGTCCTGTGCAGACTGTGGACGCTCCGGTGAGTCTGGCCTCTTCCTGCATCATGTGTCCAATGCTTAAGATCCATCGCATTTGCATTCCTGTATCATCTTGTGAGGCTGGTGGCAGTGGTGGAGAGTGACTGGGAAGGTGGTAGTGGCGATGCTCGAGAGCAGAGAAGGCTTGTCAGGTCCTTTTGAGATGTTTCTTCTTTCAGTCTTAAGAACCCAAAGTTTGAGCCTGGTTTCAGGGAGATGAGCAAGGGGATAATTTTTGCTTGTGTCTGGCCTTTCCGGGAGGTGGATATTTCTTTGTGTTATTGCAGGTGACTGGAAATTAGGATGGGAACACCCAGACACAACGGGCATTATGCTGTGTGTATTACATGATGCACAAGTAACAGAAGGGGAATGTGTTCATGGAAATACCAGGAGAGTCTGCTCGCAGTGTATGGGAACATGAGTATTAGCAGAGCAGCCAATCTTGAGCTGTGGGTTTCAGCTTCTTGGATGCTGGGACGCTGTGTAACTGTCCATTCATCCCATGTTCTCATGTGGAATAGGCAAAAGAGACCCTGGCAGATGAAAGAGGCAAAAGAGCAGGCATTCCCTAAGACTAACCTAGAATTGACACACACGCATATATAATTTCATTTTCAAACTATCCAAAGACCAAAATAACAAAAAAGGAATTTGTGTTCTTACTCCTTCATTCTTAAAATGATTTCGGGGCATCAGGTTGTGTTTAAGCTGTTGTTTTGTTTTTCAGTTCTAACAAGACCATTACTTTTGGGTAATCAGAGTTGGGATGACCTGCTTTTCCTTACCGTGTCATAACTAGACTGAAGCCAAAGTCAGGAAGACAGAGAAGTGGAGGCTCACCTTTGGTCTCAGGCCCTACTGACCAGTGGGTAGAGCACAGTTCTTCTGGGTGGTTGTTTCCATTGGTAAGGTGCCATTTTGCCTTACCAGCTTTCTGCCCACTGTCTTTCCCCCTCCGAGGCCCACATGGAGGACTGAGGTGACCCCCTCCTTGTCCTTGCTGTGACAGCTCAGTTCTTACATAGCTTCACTCCTGTTGTATTTTGATGTTAGGGTTGTTGAGAACTCGAGGCTGACCTGAGGAGTGAATCAGCCACTGGGGAAGGACTGTACTCTCCAGTGCTCTCGGACGCTTGACACTAAACATCCCAGAAGCCTGACGGAGCAGCCTACATGTGCAATTCTGTCCGTTCATTTACTGTCCAAAGGTGATGCCCAGCGTTGAATTTTTACCTCTGCTGGTGCTAGCATGGAAGATAGGACTGTTATGAGAGTGGACTCTGGTTTTTAGAAGGAAAATTTTTAAAATCATAATAAATGAATCTCCTGACTGTCAGAAGCAAGTTCCCATGGTAGAGAGATTCTTCAGGCTGGGTAGCGTGGCCTGCTGTAATTTTGGGGTGGTCTAGAGATGGTAGTGTGACAATTCTCCTTGCAAGCTGCTGTCATTCTCCCTCTTTCTTTCCTATTTTAAGATGGGATATGTGACTCTGGCTCAGGGGGCATCTCAAGTGGGAAGCTGGGTTTTAATGTTGTTGTTCTTTTTGTTTGTGTGTCTCTTTCTCCTGTACCAAGCCTCTCTTTTCACATCCTTTAACTCAGCTTTTTTCCCCAAATTCTGTCTGTCCTGTGGCTCAGGGAATGGGGGTTCCATCTTAAACCAGTCTAGACACTCTCATTGCATTTGCCAAGGACGACTTTTGCTGGATCATGTATCCAGGTCTGACTCTGAAGTTCCTGAAATAGTAGATACTTTGGGAATAAGCAGGTGGCATCAGCCCATGGGTGTACTTGCTGAGGCATGTGGGCAAACACTTGTGTGGAGCGCTCTAAGGGTCCCTCCGGAGCAGAGCAGAGCAGAGCAGGAGCTGGAGCAAGCCGCCTTTCTTTCCCGTCTACCCCACTACTTGTGTTTCCTGGGAGAACAGAAGATTCTGGAAATCAGCACCATAAGTGGAGCGCTATTAGCTATTGCGGTGGGGACTATGCTGGGGCCCATTTAGAGTATCATAATGTTGAGTTTTAGATTTCAGTATATTAGATTTTATTAGGTTTCCTTAACCCTTATCTGTCACCTTCTGAGTGTTCTGAGTTAAATTTGACAACTGAACTTTCAAGAGTAACTAAGCACATTTAGTAGCTGGAGTTTGTGCGTGTCTGTGTATGTATGTACATGCGCGCATGCTGTGTGTATGTGTACACACACGTGTGCACATGTGGGTACAGGGGCAGGAACTTCCTCCCATGGTTAAAGATAATGAGATGCTCTTTTACTACCCGCCACTTATCAGATTTTCCAACTTCTTTTCGCTTTCAGTGCAAATGAACTGCATGGTGTCAGGGCAGAACTGAAAGGTTTCTGAAAGAATGGGATTAGAAGCGGGTAAACCTAGAAATAAAATGGATGGGGGCTTAACCACCTTGACTGGGTGATCTGACAGTAATACCTTTGCAAAGCTAACTGTCAAAGTGAAGGACAACATTGTTCAAAACAACACCAACCAAGAACACCTAAGCAGTACCCAACCGGCTTTCCAATGAAAATAAATCTTTAAAAAAAAAAATAAAGGAAAAATAAATGGCTAAGGAAAACCCTTGTTGGGGATGGGGCTGAGGGAGTGAGCGAGCTTGCGTGTAGACACGTGCACACCCAGTAGAAGCAAGCGCGTGGCTGACTCTCTTGCTGTCGGGGGCTGCGGACACACGTGTGATGGGAGAGACGGTACCTTTTCCAGGAGGCGGGGAATAAATCCTCTTCCCTGAAAGTGTTTGCTTTGTCCCCATGGCCAGGTGATGTCCCCGGCTCATTCCTTTTTGGTGTGACAGTGGTTGGATTATCTTGCTATTAATAACACTGTAATAACGTAATGAGAATATTAATGATGCTGTCTGTTGCTTAACCCATGTGCTGATATATTCATCATACATGTCAGCTCATTTGGGAGGAGAAGGCAGGAAGGAGAAGGAGGCAGCGGCCGCAGCACGCAGCACGGAGGACTTATTCGGTTCCACGTCAGAAAGTGACACGTCAACTTTCCACGGCTTTGATGAGGACGATTTGGAGGAGCCTCGCCCCTGCCGAGGACGGCGCGGTGGCCGGGGTTCGCCCCCAGCAGATAAAAAGGGCAGCTGCTGAACCCGCACAACAGACTCTGGGCAATCCGCCACCCCTCCCCCCTGACTCTGGTCATTGTTTTGGTTCCAATGTCTATATTTTTTAATGAAAGACAACTTAGGTTTGCCCTTGGTCCTTGCTTTTTCCTCTCGACTTCCACGTGTCCCTTCCTCCCTGCCATCCTTCTCTTTTTTTGGGTACGTACAACAGAAGCACAAACTACTGAAACAAAACAAAACCACAGGAAAGAGCAGGATGAGGGTTCTTCCAAGAGATGGCATTGCGATGTGCTATTGATTTCCTGTAGAAGCATACCGTTGGTTGGATTATTCTCTTTTATGGGGGAGGGGAAGGGGATCTTTTTGACCCGAGCAGAGTTGATGTTCTCAGTTTTTGTATTTATTGGCAAAATGAAGAGAAGAGGGAACACTGGGTTTGAAAACAAAGAACCAATCACATTAAAAATATTATTTATATGTGCTAGTTGTATTAGGATCAGACTTTTTTTTTTTTTCTTTTTTGAGAGAGAGTGATGGGAAATCACAAAAATGGCAAGAAGAGCCTATTTAGAAGTAAGCCACTGGGGAGCTCAGTGGCAGGCTTTTACACCTGCTGTGCCCCGTGTTGTTCGTGACTCCCCATGGCAGACCTCCCCCCGCCCTCCCCCATTTTTCCTTCCTGACCTTTCCATCTTCCTCTCTGCTTGGAGAAAATGTCAACAGTTCCAGAGAAGGCCAGGGCCGCCTGTGTGTGGCCTTCCTGCAGCCCCCTGGAGGGCCCTGCCCAGAGCAGCTACCCCTGCCCCTGCACAGTGCTCCTCCACTGCCATCAGCCCAGCCGCTGCCGTGCTGGGGCTGGGTTCACCTGACCTTCCTCCTGGCAAAGAACAGCTTCCACATCGCAGGAACGGAAACCCAAGCAGAAAGTCACAGGCTCAGCAGTGTTGAAGCCTCTTGTGGAAGAAAGACTGGAATGGCACAGTCTGTGTCCCCTCCCCTTGCCCTGGTTTCAAAACAAAATACACACCCACTGGATGCTCAAGTCTCCTGTATTTCTTCGTCCTTTTCTGTGTTCCTCTGTAGTGCCTGCCGGGCACTTTGTTTTGTGTTTCCAGCAGCACTTCCTGAAGTTAACCAAAGCAAACACTTGCTCAAGGCCCTCAGAAAAGACCACCCCAACTCATGGCTGCCAGTCTCGGAGCGTGAACACCAGCGAGGTCCTAAGCAAAAGGTATGTCTTGGCTGGCCTGTCTGACAGAGGGCAAAATCATCACAGTTTTGTTGTGTTCTTAAGTTTTCTTTCTTTGTTTTCCTTCAACATTGGTTTGTCATAGTTGTTCTTTTGGGTTCTCACCTCCCCCCTTCTCAGTGTGGGATTGGCTACCCAAAGGGAGGGTCTTGCTCACAGCCCTCTCTGGCCAGTGTGTGCATGTGTGCCCATATGGGTTGAGGCTTGGGTGTATGGGCTGACGCTTGCTTGATGGGAATGGGCTCTGTGCAGAAGGGTAGCCTCCTGGCTTCAACTGCAATACTAAGTGGCTGTGGAAGTGCTTGGCTGACTCTACCTCCTGTGGCTAAATCTGAAAGTGGGATTCTAGGGATCTGAGTTTGGAGCTGGCCGCTGGGCTTGGGCAGTGACAAGGACTGCACGTTCTAGGGTGGGATTTCTTGCTCCAGAAAATGAGGGACATGAATCCAAATTCAACATGCTCCCGATTTAGACACAGCACCCCACAGGGCTCTTTCAAAGGTTCTGAGTGCATACTTGATGTGCCTGAAGTTCCTGGCCCCTGTGAGAATGCAGGCTCAGAGATGGGGGCAGTGCCATTTGGCTTGCCTGGGGAGATCCAAGTGGCTGCCCAGGGAGCAGCTGGTTTGCAGATGTCTGGGAAAATCTGCTTTGCCATTCCAAACTCCACCAATCCCTAAGAGTTAGAACTATCTTCTTGGTCACGACACAACCCAACCCAAGCTAAGCCCGGAACAAGCCAAGAAACCCTCACATGTGCTTCCTTAGCAGCCTGATTTAGCCAAGTGGTTCCCTTTCCTCTTGCTTGAGATGGGTAGGTGTTCACTTAGAAGTTCATTCTCAATTTCCAGAGTGAAAAATCACAATCCCTCCCAATCTGGTCATGAATGTGGCCCTGTTCCCAGGAAGCACGGCATTGACCTTCAGTGTAGTAATATTCCTGTGTGTGCTCACACGTAAATGGGCCCCATGAGTGGGTCTCAGCAGGTTTCTGCTCTTGTTATCACTTTCTGCACCTTGTGCCTTTGACTCAGATATTGACGTCCTAACCTTAGGATTTGTTGCCACTGACAATGTAGGAGCTTCTGTGTTCATCAAAGTGTCATGTGAGATACATCTCGGTTCTTGGAGTCTTACAATTCCCAATAGCAGCTTGGCTTTGAATTTGAGTTTTTTTAATCACATAGTTACAATGAATTATAAAAGTCCACCTAACAGTTAAGAACTAAGCAAAAGGTGGGGAACTAACAGTTAAGAACTACCCAACAAAGCAAAACTCCAAGAAAATATTTATCTGAATATGGATATTGATTATCAAATTAATTTTGTTTGTATGTATTGATCTTTGCTTTCTCTGGATGGGACTTGTAGATATCTCCACCTCCTCGTCTGTTATAACCAGTGATGGGGTCACTCAGCACTGCCTGAACATCCTGCCTGGCTTGTAGTATCTTTAAACAGACTGAGAATTTGTGTTCCTTTAAAAAAAAAGAAAAAGATCTAGAAGAAGCTTTTAAGACGGTCAGCTCAAATCTTTTACATTTTAGTTGAGAAAAGTCAACCAATAGCAACGGAGTCAATTTTGAGAGAATGGAATGGGAGGTAGATGTCTTTAAGACTAGAGTAGGCGGCACCAAGACAAGGCATGAGAGGAGAGGAGGGAGTTGGCTGTCCCGGGGATTCTATCCACTTCAATACTTTATGTCATGTCTTTGCCTCCCTTTGCCTATTTAACAGTGGTCAGACATTTAAGTGCCAGCTGCCTGCTCTGGGTGCCTACCTGGGAATGTTTTATCTGACCTTTGTGACTCTCCCCTTGAGATAGACTCATGTACTTCTCTGCGGTTAGTACCCAGAGAAGCAGAGCTATAATAATTAGATGAAGAAATGTACAAATGCTAAGGAGACAGGTTTTCATCTCTGGCCACCTGACTCCCAGAGAACCTATACTATATACATACTAGTACATAGCCTATGTGCCTGTCTTGCATTTTCTCAGTTCCAATGAAAGAAAAAGGATATTTGCAAGGAGTATAACTTTAGAGGGCAGTCACTGGATACTGTAAAAGGGAATTCTGCTTAAGATTCTGCACAGAATATTATAGATAATTTGTCTTCTAAACCATCTTTCTAAGATATTTCCTCTCCACATGCCCCCTGCTTTCTGGGGCATAGTGAACTCTTGTTTTGTGACCTCAGGAATTGCAATGAGCGGTCAACACACCCGCTGCCTTCTTCTTCTTTTAATGTTGAATAAAGTGTCACTATTCAAAACTTAGAATAAGAAAGGAAATTACAGTCCTTAAGAAGAAAATGATCTGACCAACTTTGTTCTCAGTTTGGTAGCATATCATCTCAGATGCTTCAAAAATGTCACTAAATTTTCTGAGTCCCAGTCCAACGACAGGGGTACCAGAGATGCAGAACTTTCTAAATTCCTTCCAACGTTCAGATTCCCCTTGCGGGGAGCTGCTGATGTCAAGGTGACTACTATTGCCTGTCTGATGTCTTCCCCTACCCAGAGCAATTGAAGCTTTAATCTGTTATCAAGACAAAGTAGAGATCTGCTCCTATAATCACTGTAACACTGGGAATGAGAAATACACATTTAATTTTTTAAAGGTATTTTCAAGTCAGCAATGCAATTTCTACTGGTATTTTAGAGAGAATGATTTAATAAAAAAAATGCAGTGTTCACATCAATAGCATCCCTTTAAGTCTTGCTGCTTCCCCTGCTTCTCTCCATGCACCTAATGGACTGCAGCCTGCTATTGCCTTTATATAGCACTTGAGGGAACACAAGATCATTACTTGGGGAGAGAACTAAAGGCTGTTTGGAGCTTCTCACTTCATGGTGGAATAAAATTAATTAATTTTATCCCAATATGCCTCCTGTTACATCTGATGAATATGATCTTGAACATGTACTTAAAGTTTGAGCAGACTCACGTATTCAGAATTTTCCACAGGGGATTCTGTTTAGCCTTTGGACGGGAAGTTGTTCATGGTGTTTATTTTCAGAGTGAGGCATTTTGATGTGGTGAGTAGAAGCTTGGAGTAGAAATACAAAGTCCTGGGTTTTGGACTGAACTATCCGTGTGGCTTTGTGGCCTTGGATCACACCTCAGTTTCCCTACTCCTAGGATATGGAAATTTCTTGCCCTGCCATGTAGCATATGACTAGCATCTTTCCATGATGATTCCACAAACAACACTGGGAGGTAGGGTAGGTATTATTTATTCCCATTTTACTGATAAAAAAAAAAAACGTGAGTGACTGGTGTAACATTAACAGGGCTGGTAAGTGGTGTCGGACTTTTCCAATACTCTGTCCTCAGTCAGTCTTAGTTCCCCTGTAGATTGTATTTGGAAGGTTTCTTGGGAAAGATCAGTAAAAGGCTTTGTATTCTGTTCCGCAATTCTTTATATTTGATACTACAGGAGAAGAACATGCTTTTCAATGTCCAAGCCACGAGCTTCTGGGAAGGACTGAGGTTGAGCTTTCTAAGTGTCACTGGCATTGCTGGTGACAGTGGAGATGGTGAAGTGGCAGGATGTGAACATTGTGGGCCTTGTTCTGGTTCAAAGTCCAAGTGCTTCTAAAACCGACCCATTGAAGTGTACAAAACTGTTGGGCTTGAAGTGATGTCTCAGCATCCGCTCAAAAGAAAAATCAACACAAGCCATTATGCTCGATGGATTTCAAAGTAATTGCAGAGGGTGGGAAACCCCTGTTTGGTCAAAAGTGTTAACTAAAAAGCAGTGATGTGTGAATTTTCAAGGGATCTCAACACTGGCTTAACCATGACTAACTCTTAGCTTTTTGGGTTTTTCTTTTGTTTGTTTTTCGTTTTTAAATGATCTTACGAAATAAAAAAAGAAAGTAACACAAAGAATTTTCATAGACCCTTTACCTAGATTCTCAAAACAAAAGAAAAAACCACTTTGGTTAAATTGGTCATAATTTGGAAATTAAAATTGACACAATACTTAACAGTCTAGAGACCTTATTCAAATACTGCCACTTGTCCTGCCAGTGTCCTTTTTATGGCCCAGGTTCCAATCCAGGATCACCTTTTGTATTTCATTGTCACATCCTCTCAAGTCTTCCAATATGGAATAGTTAGTTGTACCATCTGTTTTCATTTTTCACAAATTCGATACTTTTAAAGCTATTTCCTAGTCATTCATAGAAAGCTATTGCTATTAGGTTTGTGTATTGTTTTCGATGGTGAAAATGAGGGTGTGCATTTAGGTAAGAATGTTGCTGAAAAGATACTGTATTTTCAGTGTGTTTTACCAGAATTTCCATAATTGACTTATCCCATAGCTAGTGTCTTAGATATTGGGTCTGTCGGCTGAGGTTTTAGACAAGTATTTCTATAAATCTTGAGAGATAATATTTTCATTCCATATCCCTTTGTTCATTTGATGATTAGAGATCAAGTCTCAACATTATGCATGTGACTGCTTAGCTGTGAAGAATAGAATGCAACTAAACATGGGCCAATTAATTTATTGGCTAATGGGTTTATATATAAGCTAGTTGGTAAGTCTTGGAACTCATAACTGCTTAAAACATTTGTAAGAGCTCTCGGGAAGGTAGCTTGTGATTATTTTTGTTATGGATCACAGTAAGACAAGAATGTTTTCTTTTTTATTGTATACATTTTATTTTTGAAAATTTTTTGCATATTTGATAGGGTGCAAAGGGTCAAGGGCTAGAGAAAAGTGGGTGAGACCATTGTTTTGACATTCTCTTTTTTTTTCCTTCCTGTGTCTGTGAGGAGGGG